CACTTGCCAGGGAAGCGCTTATTCCACTGAGCCATCTCCCTGGCCCTACTACTTTGCATATTCTTCATTGAGGAAAGAATGAGTAAAGTGTATTCTTTTTTTTTTTTTTTTGTGGAAGTGGAGTTTGAACTCAAGCCCTTGTGTTTGCCAGGCAAGCACTTATTCTACTGAGCTGCCTTCCCGGCCCCGAGTAAAGCGTATTCTTCGATGACTTGTGGTTTGCAGACCTTTAACAGAAAACACTTTGCTTTAATTTGATAGGCCTAAGAGACGTCATGTTCATGGTACTTGTAACAAACCCTGACCCCGCAGTACATTAGTGTACCTACTCAGGTGGGTTTCTGAAACTAGAGGACTGACCCACATAGTCTCTTGGATGCTTGATTCAGAGCCCTGAGTTTCCAAATATAAAGTCTTTTAAGACCAGTACTGTGTTGGACACCTTTAAACAGTCAAAGGAGAGCAGCAATCTTTGGGGAACTGTGGCTACCGTAAGGAACTCAAGACAGCACAGTCACCAAAGCCAGACACTCCCCTGGGGCTGCATGCCAAGATGCCTCGTACTGGAGCTCTGTGACCTGTTTGCTGCTCGACTAAGGGGTCCATCCAAATAGCTGCCCAGAATGAGTTCGCCCCTGAAGCTTTTCACCGTGCGCATGGAAGGAGGCTTGTTGAGCCAGTTGGTAGCTGCTGATTTTGCAGGGAATATGGGGATTAACCCACCATAGTCTTCCCAGGCCTTTCCTGGTTTTAGAATGAAAAGTCTTGAATCCCAGGAAAACTGCTTCACCCTGGGGAAACTAGAATAGTCGATGGGAAGTTTGGGGGCACACACATTGGATGTTGTTTGATTTAACAAGAGAAGAGTGATCATGGGTTGCCCTATAAGCGTTCTTTTTTTGGGGGGGGACAGGGATTGAACTCAGGCACTTGCGCTTGTTATAATTTCTTTTTCTTTTCTTTCTTTTTTTTTTGGTCAAACCAGGGATTGAACTCAGGCCTTTGTGCTTGTTAGGGAAGTGCTTATTCCACTGAGCCATCTCCCTGGCCCTCCTATAAGCATTCTTAATCAGGCACCGGAGGAATGAGAGAGAGAGAGACTTTCCCTTTGGGTCATTTTCAGTACCTTGTAAAAGAGCAGCCCAAACCTCACAGCCTGGGTGGATAGATCTTTCAGATGAACCATATCACCCCCGTTCTCCAGCTAAAAGGGAAATGCACACAGTTTACCAATAACCCAAGGCATAGAAGGGAGCCCCTCTTGTCATGTCCTAGTGTCAACCCCTGAGTCCCCCACCCCATAGTACTGGGAGGACAGTTCTCTCTCCAGACCCTCCATTCAGTTATTTATCTGATTAACAAGCATTTTTTTTTTTTTTTTGAGAACTCAGACCCTTGTGCTTGCCAGGTAAGCACTTATTCCACTGAGCCATCTCCCTGGCCCCAACAAGCATTTATTGAAAACACACTATGTGCCATATATTGTGCTTCATGCTTCCAGAACTTGGAGAGAGTAAAGAAAGACAGATACCACTAGAGAAAGAAAAGTCCTACTAGGTAAATACACTATGTTCATCAGTGGCCCCGTCATGAAGCTGAGAAGGACTATGGTCATAAAGTCAAGAACAAGGAAGGCCTCCCATGGCAGGCTTCATGCTAAAGCCTGGAAGTGGGGGGAGTAGATACTGGGAGGGTGGCATTTGGGAGCAAAAGGAAGGAGGTGGGCAGGCTCAGAAGGCCAGAGGAGGGAGTCGGAGGATTGTCTGAGCTATTAGCTGCAAAGGCTGTCCCTGCTGCTGCTCTGTTACAGCATAGTTCTGAGTTACATCCAGAGCAGCACTGTTCTGTGGCTTCATTGTCTCGTGGGCAGGAAGTACTGAGCTTGGACCAATGGTTTGCATACTACAATAGGTACTTGTTGTGCTTGTTGAATCTGAGCTAGTGATTCATGTTTCTTCAGAACTCAAACACTGTCTTGTTTCATCTCTAAAAATGCATGCTTGAAAGCACTTAAGTATGACAGCTGGTGTGGACAATTCACAAAAGGGGACATGCAACATGGTAAAATATTCATATTTACTGTAATAAAGAAAATATGTGATAAAAATCAGATGCCGTTGTTCCTTTCTCAGTTAGCAAAAGTGATTTGAAATTAAAATGTTCTACATGCCTAAGGATGTACAAAGTAACACGTGTTCACTTATTTATGGGGAAAGAATAATTTGGTTCCCCCAATTGTTAATATGTATCAAGAACAAACATATACTTCCTTTTAGTGCCAGCATTTCTACTGTTAAGAATCTTCTATAACAAAATAACTCAAAGTATAATAAACAATCATGTGAAAATATGTTCCTTGGGGCCGGGGAGATGGCTCAGTGGATTAAGCGCTTCCCTGGCAAGAGCAAGGGCCTGAGTTCAATCCCTGGTTCTGCAAAAAAAAAAAAAAAAAAAAAGAAAGAAAAGAAAATACATTCCCCTGAATGTTGAATGTTGATTTTAAAAATAAACAATTAGAAAGCACCAAATGAGCATAACAAAAAAATATGATAAATGTTTAAAATTTTAAAAGTTTAGTATAAGACCTGTTGCCATTAATCCCTTTCAAAAGAATTCCTCTCAGTTTGAACACAATTATCCCTCATTAGCACCACTTGCTGAAGCAGGGCTGGAAGCCTTTTATTTTTTGTGAGTTTCTTTAGCCGTGCAGTTATGAATGCTTTGATGTCCTGAGCTGACTCAAAATATTTACCATTCCTAGTCATCTTGACCTTGCAGAGGAACCAGAAGTTGTATTGTGTCAGATCCAGTGAATAAGTAGATGGAGATGCATCATAATGTTTTTATTTGACAAAATTGTAAAATTTGATCGGGATGGGGTGATAATCAAATACAGTGAATGTTTAGATTTTAAAATCTCTTGTGGTTAAAGATGCATGGTTATGAACTCCTCTAAAAATACTCGAATTACTCCCCCTAGCCTTGAACACATGTATCTCAATGTTGTTGGCAACATGTCTTTTACTGTTATAAGATTTTAAGATTTTAAAATTTACCATATTTTTCAAATAACAAAGTAGAATTTTCTATGTCATATCCTCTTGGTGGAAGAGTTTGGAGCTACTAAAAATGGCTTTAAGAAGTGAATTAAAATGAATGTTTTACATACTTTTTAGAAAACTAAAAATTAATATATACATTGAGATTTTAATAGTGGTTGTGTTTGAGTGGTAGATCTGAGAGCATTTTCTTTATTTCTCTGCATCTCAAAATTTTTCAACCCCAAGTACATACATAGTACCTGTGTCTGGCAGGGACCAATTAGGTCGGGACATGAACAGCGTTCTTCCGCCCCATCTAACTCACCAGACCAACCAGAGCAGAGGTCTAATATCTATATTATAAGCCTGGGCCTCTTCCCTTTTTTCCTTAGGATTGGCTTTCCCTGTTTGCCCTAAAGGGGGAGCCAGGTAGGTCCTGACCTCAAAAAGGCCCAAAGTTATCAAATGTGAGCTCCATCTCCAGAAAGAAAAAGTCAGAGAGATAAGAGATTTGGATAACTGTTCTTTTCAGAGTTGACTTACCATGTAGTAATGGTTTGCTGTAACCCGGATGAGCCAGGATGCAGGAAAGAAGTTAATGTGCTTTAATTCCTCCAGATCCTTGACTTGGGAGAAGTGGAAAGGGGACATGTTTATGGTTTTATTTGTAACAGAACTTCAAAAACTGTCACTTGCTGAAGGTAAAGGAAGACAACAGAAGCCTTGAGAAGAGAAAGAGTAGGTTTGTGGTTTGGCTGAAAAAAGATACTTCAGAACTGCCGTAGTTGTGTGTAGAGTCCATTTTTTTAATGCTCCAAATTAATTCCCCTTTAAACTTATACAAATAAACTTCCAAAGGAATGAGTGAATGCACTCTGCGCTGGACTTCCACTTCAGTAGAAAATTTTCTTTCTTTCTCTTTCTTTCTTTCTTTCTTTCTTTCTTTCTTTCTTTCTTTCTTTCTTTCTTTTTGTATTTTTTAGGGAAGGGTCTGTAGGGTATTCGGGGTCTCACTACTAGATTAGACTCGTAGTGATCCACCTGTTTACAGCCTCCCAAGAGCTGGGATTATAGGCACATACCACCACACCCAGTCTCAATTGCCATCTCAGTGAGCCCCAGGGGAGGGGCTGGCATGGCAGGCCTGGGGATCAAACCCTGCCCCCTGCACCTGCTTGCAGGCACTTTAATGCGCTGAGCTATTTGGCTGGCCCAAAAATTTTCTTAAAAGCATGTATATGCTTTTAAACTTAACTTCAATTATTTTTAAATAATTATACCACCAACAGCCCTACAAAGAGACAACACTGTCCAGCAAACCCTGGCAGGCTCCTGGAGACTTTCGCTCGAGCAGAAGCCATCAGTGGTCCTCAGCAGGCAGGTCTGAGCACTCTGATCATACCTACTTCCATCCTAATGGTATTACCCAAAGTTTTTGCAAACAAGAGGGAAATAAGTTATTTAGGCTGCGCTGTGGTTCAGTTAAAATCTGTGTCTGTCTACCTTTCTTCCCACACTTTCCTGTGCGTCTTCCTCCCAGGTCACTGGGTAGCCATAAGTGTGCTTAAGGGACAAATCCGCATCCCACATGCTCACAGCCACCTCATTGAAGTCCTGCCTGGCAGAGGAGGTTTGGAGTGAGACTGTCAGTGTGACTGAAGTGTCTATAGGCAATCTGGACAAAATTCCCTGGCTCCATCAGCCATGCTTGATTTTTAGAGCTACTTATTACTCAAGATAGCTATACATGGCTTTGAAAAAGCTTTCACATGTTTAAGGAGATCTTTAAGGAGCAAAGATCTCAGGGCTGAGCTCTTGGACTGCCAAGAACACACTCCCTAATATTCTCTTCCTCTTTCCAAGGTCCTGATGCCTTCCTCCATGCCCAGGATATGACAACGTGAGAACGAAAGCCTGGCTCTGGGACACAGACTTAGTTTTCAGGTAAACTGAACAACTTGTCTCTCAGATGTTATCAATGAAAGAATTTGTCCCCATGATAGATGCAATGAAAGAAAACATGTTGTTAGTGCACAGGGAATTATTCCAATATATGTAGTAAAAGGGAATTGAGAGCATTTTGTTCAAGTCTGTTATACCTGGTAAAACCAGTTCAATAAGCCCAATAAATTGCAGCAAAGTCCTCTCCTGGTCCCGTTCTTTGCTTTACATTTGTTCCAGTGGGACTGAAAGTTTCAGGTATGTACAATAAAAAAATGACATGAGGACTGAGATAGATAGCTTAGTGGTTTAATTGCCTGCCTGGCAAGTGCAAGGACCTGGGTTTGATCCCCAGTACCACATGCTGTGCCCGCTTGTGCCCTGCCAACCACCAAAATTGGGTGTGGTGGTGCATGCCTATAATCCCAGTGCTGAAACAGGAGGATTACTACAAGTCAGAGCTGCATAGTGAGACCCTGTATCAAATAAATAAATAAATAAATAAATAAATAAATAATTTTAAAATAAAATAAGAAATAAAAAACAATTTTAAAGGTGACGTGAAATGAAAGTTGGGATGGGACCATTAGTGTTAACCAGAATAAAGGGAGACCAAAGAGAGGCTGAATGGTATTATGTTACTCCATACAGCCCAGGAATCGGTGTGAAGGGTGGAGCCAGGTTAAATAGTACATTGAAAAACAGGCCATAAAGTCTGAGCAGCACAGTCATCAACCTAAAGAACCAATATCTGGTTGATGAATATGATCTACAATACAGAAAAATTCCTATTGCCTCTCCAGAGAATTTGAAGAATGTGAGTGACAGGGGTGAAATGTTCAATTAATTTAATTTTCTCCCAAACTGCCAAACCAGTGACCTAGAAGGGATTCCCATGTGGCCTTGTGGTGGGCCACAAGCTAGACCCTGATGGATTCTTTGGCACTATCTCCTAGTGCTTCCAGGGAATGGCTGGAGGGTGGGGCAGGTCCCCAACCACTTTCCCATATATACTGTCACATGGGTGGCACTTACCACCAGTGATGTTATATAGCCGTAAGCAAAGGAAGAGTGAAATCCACCTGTGTCCTATGTCCCGGTTCAGAAAGCAGTGCTCCTTGGAAAAGCTTAGCAGAGACACAAAGGAAAATAGAAGGCCTTCAGAAAACTCCGTTCTGGAGTGAACTGGGACCACTGAAAGCCACCCCATGGAGACTAGTGGTACCTCGTAGGAGTAGATGATGCTTGGGTATCTCTGGGGAGTGTGTGTCAACTTATGACGACATTGGCAAAGTCAAAGATACCCCAAGGACTATAATGAGGTGAGTAGTTCCATTTCCCTTCACATCTACCACTGTGCACACAGCAAGTGTCAAACAAATATGGATAGTGTGACTGGTGGGAACACATGTCATTTACCAAGGATTTCTTTTTTTTTTTTGGTGGAACCGGGGATTGAACTCAGGCCCTTGTGCTTGCCAGGGAAGCGCTTATTCCACTGAGCCATCTCCCCAGCCCCAGGAAGGATTTCAATCCACATTTTCTCACCAACTTCCTGTGGGGTACACATAACAGGTATCATCTGATTAGCCAGAACTTAAACCCTGGCCCTCGGGCTCCTCAAGCATTGCCCTTGCAGTGAGTGACCACGTCTGGCTCTTCAAACCTTTTCCCCTTATATTTTGAGGAAAAGGAACATGGAGGGGTGGATAGCTAGCTTCCTGCCTGGTTTCACTCTCAAGTCTGCTACAGTTAGTATCAATGCTAATCCCTGCATAATTTCCACAAAGGCTGAAGGTCAGGGCTGACTGGAGATTACATTGTCTTTAAAAGTTCATGCATCTACAGACATGCAGCTGGACTCTTTGTTTTGAAATAATTTGCTTGGCAAAATGATCATTTCACAAATGGAGATGATGGGGAACACTCTTTCCAGGTCCCTCTGGAAATGCATACTCATTCCCTGGAGGCAGGTCCTGGGCAAGGGCAGCCAAGAGCACTGGCAGATCATTTTTCCATGAATCAAGAGTCCAAATCACTCCCTGTCCCAGCTGGACCTAACGTGCGTTGGCCCCAAGTCCTGCCTCAGTTGGGGATGACTGCTAATTCACCCAGCACCATTGGGTTCTGGGAGCTCTTGCAATGCCTGAGATTCCCCCACCTCTTCACAGCAGTGGCCCCACTTGCTGGGTCAGGGGTGCTGTGGAGCTGTGAGAGAGGAGGTAGGAAGAGCGATGAGTGCATTCTGGTTCCCCTGGATGAATATTTACTCAAACTTAATGTATGCCTGTCTCTGGAGGCGACTCATGAGGCACACAGAGGAAGGTTCACCATTGCAGGTGTTTGCGACTATTGGTCTTGGATCAGTCCTCCACCATTCTGGGCAGGTGGAGTTGGGGCAAGCATGGGCGCTGCAAGCATTCCAACAACACAGATGCCTTTGTGGCACAAATAACACTTGCTGTGTCCTTCTTCCCTACTGGATGCCACCTCCTTCTTTGCCTTTTTCATTATTTAATAGAAAATCTGAGGAGGCTTTACTTTTTATACTTTTTTTAAAAAACATTTATTTATTTATTTTGTGTGTGTGTGTGTGTGTGTGTGTGTGTGTGTGTGTGGCCAGTTCAGCCCACCAGGGGGCGGGGCTGGCTGGCATGTGGTGCTGGGGATTGAACCGCGGTCCCTGTGCTTTGCAAAGCTTAGCTTGTTCCAAGTAGGTGCTTTAGACCACTGAGCCATCTCACCAGCCCTATACTTCATTTTTATTTAAAAGTAAAGCCATGTTGTTATGTTGAGCTGTAGGGGGCTCAGGTCAACAACTTCTGACATTGCCAGTCAAGAGGAAGACCCAATACTATTATGGACTACTGGACTATTTTGGAATATTTTGCTGAGTTCACATACCTATAATATTTAAGTGACAGAACTAAAAAAAAAGGGGATACAGATGAATGACCATTTTGTATCTATGTATTCAGAATGGTTAGGATAGACATATAGCTACATTGTCTTAATTCAGTGAATAGAGGAATTTGTTGTAATACTTTTTTTTTTTTTTTTCTTTTGCGGAACCAGGGATTGAACTCAGATCCTTGCGTTTGCCAGTCAAATGCTTATCCTACTGAGCCATCTCCCTGGCCCTGTTCTAATAATGTTTGTAAATAGGATATCACGTCTGCATCTTACACAGCAAATAACCACAAGGAAGACAGTATGCAATGCATTAATTATTGAAACTGTCATACCAATTTGATTTGAAACTGTCTCATTGCTATTTGTTTCTCAATAAAATTATGAAAAAAAATCTGAGGAGGCATTATGGCTGGTGGCAGGTGTCAAGGATGGAAGAAAGAACCATGTGGATACAGCCCACCTCAGCCTCGCTGAGCACCCTGCAGAATGGGCCCGCCCTGTGGTGAGGGATTCCCTAGCTTGGGCTGCCCCTGGAGGTGTAGCTTAAATACAATCAGATGTTGCCAGAGCAGGAAAAGGGTAATGTTTCCCCTTCAACCCAGAAGCCACACAGCAGTAGCTCTGCTCTGTTTGGAGTGGGAGGGCTCCTGTGAGAGTAAAAGGACCTAGGCCCCAATCTTCCCTTTGAGAAGCATTCATATCTGAAGGACCTTTCTGGACAGAGGATTTGGGAAGAGCTTTGTTGAAAGAGGTATTTGGACTCTGTGACCCCTTGGGAAAGTGGCAAGGATGGCCGCTGTTACGGCTGATCAGGAGGAGGCAGGAGTCAGCTCATTGTCCAGCCAAGCTGCAGTGAGAGCCGCCAAGAGCTCATCCTGGCCCAGTGGCCTATCAGGCATGTGACTCAGCCTCTCAGGGCTTCATTGTCCTTCTCTGTTAGGTCAGGACAATAACCACACATGCCTTCTTGGGTAGATGGGGGAAGTCAAAGTGTCATTGCTTGTGGAGTGCTTGGTACATCTACTGGCACCCAGGAGTCCTCAGTGCCTTATCAGTGCCACCACTGTCCTCTCATCCCAATGGCTGGTCATAAGCATAGCACTGTTCCTGGCAGCATTTATTCTGATTGCCACCTTCTAAACCACCCAAGACACAGCTGGATCAAAGGAAGATAATGCTATCTTCAGCCTCTGGTTTTCTCAAATCTCCAAGGATGTGAACCTTCTAGAACCAATCGGCATCACCCTGCTCTTAGAGGTCTACATCACTCTGTGGTTGTACAGTCAGCATTCTGTGCAGGTCTCCAGGTCCAACCTTTCACCTTGCCACCTTCCCACCTCGCCTGGGGCAGCTTCAGGGCCATGGAGGTGGAGGAGGGGCACCTCTATTCTCCACCCAGTGGTGAGGAGTTCACCTAATGTCACACAGTAGGAGTGCAGACAGGCTGCTGAGTGAGGACTGTTTTGCATGAGTTAGTGGTAGAATCCAGTGTGGGCAGTGTTTGTGTGGTGCTCAACTCTGCTTGTGTAAAACCCTCACTAGGTTTAGCTTTTACTTTTCAGGCACAAACATCTCTGCCTCCTAAAGTTCACTGAGAAACCCTCAGGCTATGACTCCTTTAGGGAAGAGAGTTCACAGCTCCTTGATGCACCCAGGTTAGACAGGTCTGGGCCTCACAGACCTCCTGAAACACAGTGCTTGAGCCCAACATTCGTTTAAGGGATTTATATTCCGGGAATTGAACTCATGGCCTCGTGCTTGGCCACTGAGCTACATCCCCAGCCCACAGCCTGTAATTTTAGACATGCTCTTGGCAAGGTAGTCTCACTTCCTGCATGCTGTCATCTGCAGGTTACCTTTCCTGCTACAGAAGACCCACAGCTCTGTTGGCCCCACTACTACAAACTTTAGCCACAAAACACACACTTTGGTATTTAGAAATGTTATAAACATTTGTTATAACATGGATGGAATTTGAAAGCATTATGCCAGCAAAACAAGCCTAATTCAGCCTCATATTTCAATTTGGGATGATGAAAAACTTCTGAACGATACAAAACAATAGGAATATACTTAATTCCACTGATTATATATATATATATATATATATATATGTATATATATACATATATATATGATTAAAATGGCAAATTATATGTAGTATATACTTTGCCACAATTAAAAATATTTAGGGTTATGAATTTACTTAGCTTGTTTGAAGATTTGAAATACTAATTTTTTTTCTGTATTTCAGGGAAGGGTCTACAGGGTGTTCAGGGTCTCACTACTAGGTCAGACTATTAGTGATCTACCTGTTTACAGCCTCCCAAGAGCTGGGATTACAGGTGCGCACCACCATGCCCAGTCTCAATTGACAGGGCTGGCACCGCAGGCCCAGGGATGGAATGCCCAGCCCCTGTACCTGCTTGCAGGCACTTTAATCTGCTGAGCTATTTGGCCGGCCCTGAAATACTAAATTTTAAGGTAAAGTTTAAAGTGTACGCTTTCGGGCAATGACTCACCATAAGGAGACTACATGACTTCTTGTCAAAATGTAACCCATTATGGATGACTGGGACACCTTCTGGCATCACAGAACTGGGCAATGGCTCTTTTGGCCCCAAAGTGTCGTGAACCAAACAACAGTTCTTGCTGCTACCCTGACATCGTCAATTCCCACATTTCAGTTCCTGCTGGCAGGGGCTGCACGGGTCCTCAATCAGAGCTGACCCAGCCACTGGCTCAGGTAAGCAGGTGGGGTTACCTCCACACACAATGACAAGGCTGCTGGCCCAAAGTCTTAGAAGCAGTTAATGGCAGAAGCAGAATGCTGGCCAGGGCTGAACTCTTCCAATAAGCATCTCATGTGTTTTTGGTCTCCCCTTCCTAGCTTCACATTCCAGAAGATGGACATGTATGTTATCTCTCTGTGGTGACACTTAGTGTCTCTGGCAGTGTCTGGCCCCTAGCTTGCAATATTTTGGATGAACCAACTGGATGAATGATGCAGCTCTTGTCAACTCTAGTTTTCCTTTTCATCTCTCCATTTGCCCGCAGTTTATCTTCTAGGAACCCCAGTAGTGCTGGCCCTGGTACACGACATATGTCAATGTTCTTATGCCATCTGGCTCTTTCTGTTTCTGCCATGTTTGTCAGGTCAAAGCCTACTAGTCATTTGTTGAGGGCAATTCCAATGTCATTTTGAGTGCTGGGA